AGGAAACAAGCATACTGCAGAAAGGATCGACTCGCCGCATGTAGCGGAAGGAGCGCCCAATGGGATGGGAGGCCGTGCAACTTCAAGCAAGTTTCCTATTCCTATGGAACTATCTGTAACAAATGAAATGGTGATGTATGGACCTCTTCGATGGAAGAGATGCGGCAAGAGGAGAGGGGATAATGTCTACCCCGTTGATCAGTCCCATCTTGCGATGCGACATGCATTCTAGGCTTATTGAATGCGATGTGGCCTATAACATTACTTGCGGGGCCAGCCGAGGTAAAAGTCATTGTTCATATCTTTCCATTTATCTGGTACCGCTGCCCCTAGAGTAGGAGGCTTGGGTGACCTCGGTGGAAGCCAGCTGACCCCTTCACCAACGCCTGATAAGCATGCCGCTTGTGCCACCTCCGCCACTGGAAAAAAATAAAAAAGGATGGGACCAAGAAAAAGCTCTGTTCTCATGCCTCAAAGCGAGTTGCATATTGACACTACTAAGCGCGAATTGCTCTTTGTTGTTCCCTCAATTCGTGCGGCACCCACTTCTGCAATTCCTTAGGCTTCCCAATTTGTTTCCTATGTCTTTCCACAGTGGCTTGCTGTACACCTAGTTCTTGTCCGTACCCTCGAGTGTATCTCTGACTTTGGTTTTACGGCTGCATTTGGCTGTCCGTTGTCCAGTGACGATTTGCGACCACGACGGTTGATCTTGAAGGCTCATACTTCTAAATGGAAGTTTGCGAACTAACGTTGCATCATTGTTTGTTAGGTTCTGGAGCTGAGTCCTCTCCTCAGCCATTTATGTTGGTCAAGTCATCCTGGCTGCAGAGAGGTCAACTATAGTTCATGAAACATACCGACCCGAAAATCATTCCTACCCATGTCGGCTCTGAGTCGGCATAACGACGACAGACGATAGTTAGGATCACGCTTTGGAAGTGAACAGGGGGTGGTCCAGGTTTATGCAGTTGCACCGAAATGAATTTAACGAAAGGCGTAGCTGCGAAAGCGGCTGGCACCAAGTACGTGTTCCCCGTACCCCGTATCCTGTAGATGTGGAAGGTGTGGCCGTGTGCTACATTTGAACGTGGCGGCGGCTATGCTTCTGGTGCAATATTGCCGTTTTGAGATAATTGTAGGCGCCGTCCTTCTAAGGGGGGGGGACGTTTTACTAAATTGCGAGATTCTTCATTTTCCACGTGTAAGTGAAAATTGTAAAGTTCTGCTGAAGGCAAGTCACACGGTAAATCCCTAAGGTGTGGAATAAATAAGCCTACCAGAGCGAAATTCGGCGCCCCTGAGCAGGCAGCGCGTGGCGCTTTTTCCAAGAGAGGTATGCTTATACCGACCTGTCAATCTGCAACGTACCGATCCGGACGCCCACCGCTCCGGCCACCCATAAATGTTCGACTGAGGCTAATGCTCGCATCGCTTCATTTGCGATGTACAGTATGAAGCGAAGGGATCGATATGAGGGGCTCCAGTGCTGCATGAATATATAAGAACAAACATGCAGCGGTATCTACCGTAGCGGTTAGTGGCATAAAGGCGCGGGAATCTCGTCCGAAATTGCTTCCTGAGTCGCGTAGAACAAAAGCTTTTTGCAGGTTTTTGACCGTTTCACTTCGCTTTTTCGCCATTTTCCCACTATATAGTGCCTCTGCTGCCATTTTAGGTCCAATCCAAATTATCCTGCCATTTGCCTTCGAGCCGCCAAATGGAGCAAGCTGCGCCGAGCCGGATTTGATTAGACCTGTGAATCCTTGCAAACCGTTGGAATGGAATGAGTTTTAATATATGTGTGGCTTTGCTAGCCTCACAAGAGTTCACAGTTTTGTACAAGGTACAAGGCCTGTAGAAGCTTAGTGAGTGCCATCCCGTACTGCACATGACTTTACAAGTATCCACGTCAGCGAGAACCAGCGAAGTGCCTCTTCCTCACGACTTCTCTCCCCCCCCCCGCACTTAGCCGAACAGCGTCCAGTGTAATCATGTTTTCGTAAAGTACAGGGCAGGATGACAGTTTACTCAAATAACAACATCCCACGAGAAACGTATCCTGCACCATGAGCAAATGAAGTGCATGACTACGCCCTCCCCATCTTCAACCATGAGTGAATGTATAGAAAGGGGAGTCGGTAGGGGACTACACAGTCATCGCCAGAAGGCCACTTTTTGCCCTCCGATACTGGGGACAAGAATTTTGTTGGATTGTCCACACTTTTGCGGTGAATCACTGTTGCAAGCTGAGATCCACCATTAGATTTTCAACAACTCAAAGACAGTTGGCACGATAAACGCCCTAAAGACGTTATAGGATGGAACTATCCTGGCAGGACGGAAATTCCCATTACCGCTGAGCAGACGCTGTAATGAAGCGTGCGGTGCTGCATGGATATATGATATGTAAGTGCAGACCGTATCTACCGTAGCGATTAACTGGCAGGCATGCCAGCAAGAAACCGGTACGAACAATGCTTTTTTGCGTCAAGTCAAAACGGAGGCTTTCTTTGTAGGTTATTGACCGTTCCACTTCGTGTGTCGCCATTTTCCCACTATATAGTTCCCTGCTACATTTTAGACTTTTCAGAAGCAAATTATTTTGCATGGTGCCTTTATAGAGCCCCAAGCGACTTGCGATTAACTGAACTCTCAGTAGGGGGTGGGTACTGCAGACTGCGACGAACTACCCTGTTAAGTTTCTCGTCGAAAGGTGGTAAGTAGCGGCGATAAGGCACAAGGTTGCTTAAAGACAGCTCCGCGATAAAAGTGTGATGGAATAGTCTGTTCAATTTTTTTTTTATGACACAGTAGCTGATAAGTAATTCCCCAAAGAAGAAAAAAAGCAAAAGAGCCCTAAAGAACATTATGAACGAAATCGCTCCCCGACTGTAACACTAGCCCTGCGGTCACTGTGCAACCTCTGGCCCACAAATCGCTTTCTTCGCATCTCGCAGTAGTAGATGTCATCCAGCGCGAAGACAAGAATACGAAAAACAACAAAAACAAGGACGAGAAAACCCCTGACAAAATCAAACGTTTCCAAAAAATCAAGCAGTACGAATTCAGGATTACGGTGGCGTGTTTTAGTGCGTCGAGCTTTTGCTGCCAAGAAAACTGCATCACTCATGATTTTTACGCGTTTTACCTTGCGAGATAGGTTGCAGTTGAGTGTATGTGCTCCTAATGAATAAAGTGTAATATAGGGTTGGAAAAAGTCCTGTCAGTGTTTTTAGATAGCCTACAGTTTTTGATCTTCGAAGCTCGAACATGACGTAACATGCTAAGGTTGTAGAACATTCTCGAAGCTTTTCCACAAGAGGTATATCAAGGCTCCTGCTTTTCCCTGTGTTTATTTATGATGTCAGTTTCACTGGAGCAGCTTCGAGTTGCTTATCTTCTATGATGGCGCCGACGGCTACTGCGCGACGGCAGCGGCCCGTAACATCAACTGTGCCTTGGGGAGGACACCACCACCGTCAGGACTGTCCACCGTTGGTTCGCTCGCTTCGCGAAAGGAGAGACGATCTTCGAAGACAACCTCGTCTGGGACGCCCTCGCGGCGTAGAAGGTTCCACCGTTCTCGAAACTGTCAGAGAGGATCCAGAGGCTACCACGCGCAGTATTGCGACAAGGCTAGGGTGTAGCCATACAACAGCTCTAAACCCGCCTTCAGGCCCTTGGCTACAGAAAAGTCCTCAAGCGATGGATACCTCATGCTCTAACAGATGGCACGCGGTATGCCAGGGTGAGCATCTGTCGATCCCTCCTTCTACACCGTAACCGGAAGGAGTTTCTGGAAGATATGGTGACTGGAGATGAAAGCTGGGTCCTCTATGATTCCAACCTACGTCGTGCCATGTGGCTCCCTCGAGGAGAAGACCCGCCTACGCAACCCAGATCGAACCTGCACTCCAAGAAGGTCCTCCTCTGCTGCTTCTGGGATTCGAAGGGCATGCTGCACCACGAGCTGCTTCCGCAAGGGCATACGGTTACCGCTACCGTTTACGCCGCAGACGGCCGCCCAACTCCAGAAACTCGCGCAAGCTCTTCGAGAAAAGCGGCCGAGACGAGCTTCGGTGCACCTCCTCCATGATAACGCCAGACCACATGTGGCTAAAGAGACCCACCGCCAAATTGAGGAGCTAGGCTGGGAGACCGTTCCCATCCACCATATTCTCCAGACCTAGCCCCCTCCGACTAAACACTTGTTCGCTCCCCCTCAAGGCTTTCCTAGGTAAGAAAACCTTCAGCGAATTTGATGGCATCAATCGAGAAGTTGCCTACTTCTTCGACTCGCAGCCTCCTCAGTTCTGGGAGAAGGGGATAGCTGAGTTGCCCATTAGGTGGAGCACTGTAGTGGCTAACAATGGCGATTATATTATTGATTAGTTTTTATTTCATGTTGAGTTAGAAAATAAAAAAGAAAAAATCACAACAGTGACAGGACTTTCTTTCCAACCTATATAATCCCTACCTCATTGGCAGACGGTGCGCGGTGCGTGTGAGCTCGCTGTAACGCGGCCAACGATGACAAGCGCCGTCACAGCGTAGTCACAGCACCGCCCCACCGTCTGCAATGATGAGCACATATAATTAAGAGAGAGGATTAATGTTCTTCTGGCCGAGCCAGCGGTCCACCAAAATGGATATTCACTTCCATCAGCGCCATCATGATCGACTTTCAATGAATCTTGGCATCGTGTAAGGCCTCACACATGCAATTCCTACTAATGCCCGCCGCCCCAACAAAGAGCAACTGAGAGGCCCTCCGTTCAGAAAGCATCTAGCAAGTCCAACTGAGCGGTCCAACTGGGCGGGCGTTAGAAACTAAAACTTCCAGCGGCTAAAGCACGCTCCTCGCTCGCTATGGAGTCGCGAGGGTGGGATAGTAGCTTTTGGGCTGGACTGCTTGGACAAGGAGAACGAGGAGGAACTACTTGAGCACGGGGGCTGTCTTTACGTCACTCCGCTCATAGTGATAGATGCCTTATCTGCTGTCCTACTCGTTTGTATGCTTTTTCACTGCGTTCCTTGCCTCTCGCTCAATATTGATTCTTTCTCTCGCTTGGCACAAGTAGGCCGTCCTCATTTGGAAGTTTTTCTCGATTGGTTTTCTCGACCATTTCGCTTCACGGGCAAGTTAAAAGCAAATTGAAAGAGTTATGGGGCTCGGGCAGTGACAGCGAGCTAGCAAGTAATCCAATAGTGTAGAAAAATCATTAAATATCATGGGATGTGTTCTATATAGGACCCTATGCCGAGCTGAGGGTTGCACGTGCTCAGACGAAGAGAGGGCGCGTCGCGCGGCCGCGCGGGTTCTTCACCTTTGTTGGTATCAGCTGTTTTCCCTTATCATTTCACTCTAACCATTCAAAGTGGAAAGAGTTAGTACCAGAACAACCACAGCCATTGGAAATGAAGATTGGCGTAGTGAGTGATCAACAGGTGGGCGGGGTGGCTGATCTTCACAAGCGAGCGGGTGTCGCTGTTCTCTCACATGTTTGAGTTGCGAAACTAGCACGTCCACCATCCTCGTAGGGTGGGCTACGATCTCCAGAGAAGGCGTGGGAACAAAAAATGAACAGGCGCTGCCTTCAAGAAGGACGTGCACCTTTGGTTTCTAACCTCGCTTTCAAGTAGGTGTTCGCTGGCTCATCCCAAGTCACCTCATAATAAACACATTCTCGCTTGCTCTAATATATTAATACTACCTGAGTGTGGCGGAGGTGGTATAGTGGCAAATGACACGACTGACGCGCCTTCTGGGATGATGTCTCGCATCGGCTCTCACTCGGCTGGGCCTCGCATATCATTGTAGACCACATCACATTCAATAAGCCACTACGATTCTGAATGGAAGTAGAATGCGTGCCGCATCCCACAAAGGGATTGATCAACGGCGAAGACTTTATCCGTATCCTTTTATTGATTGAATCGCCTTCTTCAATCGTTTTAGATGATTGGTTTGGTGAATACGCTTCTGAGGGAGATAAGGGCCCTCCGAAGGGGGACTCTGCTGATTTTGAGCGTCATGTAGTGTACTGTTCCTCACATTACATAACTGTTAAATAAACAGTGATTGTTAAACAATAAATCACTGTCTGCAACACATGAACATAGTATATTTTTTCTTTTCCTCTCAGTGATATACACAGATGCCTATAGTTCTATGGAAACAAGCAGACCATGACCAATTGCAAGCATCAATCAGGATACACGAGGTTATAGGCTCTATATCCTGCCAGGAAACTGGCGATTATCTGAAATGAAAACTTGTGAACCAAGGCACCTTATAATTTGTCTGCAGCTCTCACCTCAATAAGCACCACACCCATGGAAGCTGCTCCGAGGTATTGTGTGTCTGTAGAAATACGAGAGCGGATTTGCTTTTCGCAGCCCTGAAATAGAAGGTTCAAACTAAGAAAAACTATGTACACAATGCACTGTGCAATAAATCACGCTGTGCGTGGGAAAAATTCCGACTTGGGAACCTGAATAACACCAGTAAGGCTGCGTTCATACTCTGCGTGCGCGTCCACCAGCGACCAATAAGTCCACCAGCGCTCCGAGCGCCCGGCAGCGTCAGCGACTGGTAAATCATGGAATCGATCTAGCGTCTGCCAGCGTCCACCACCGACCAGCAACGCCTCGAGGGCCAGCGAAGTATAGGTACCAATCTAGCGTCTGCCAGCGTCTAGTAGATACCACCAGCGACCATCAGCAGACTACCTGCAGACCCGAGTTGGGTGTATGGGCGATAGGGAGGTACCAGCTGTCTGCTATCCTCCTATCGCACCATACTCTCTACAAGCAGTCTCTGTTCTCCTATCTCCCCATACTCTATTAGCTGTCTGCTACTCTCCGATCCTTTCCACTCCCGGTCGCTGGTAGACGCTGGCAGATGCTGGCTGACGCTAGATCGATATCCATACTTTCCTAGTTGCTGACGCTGCTACGCTCAGAACACTGGTGGACACTGCCGCAAGTTCGAACTCTTCCTAAGACTAACATGGCCCACTTTCTGCCCGCAACATAGAGGATGCCCCTTCTATGGCTAGATTGCTCCTTGCTTCTGTAATGAATGTTGGGTCAAACTACGCTCAGAAAAACGAAACGTTTCGTTGGAAAAATTGCCGCCTTTTTGGGTGCACATGATCACTTACATTTGCATAGTTCGGCCGAAAGCAGGAATACGCTTGAAGCTGAGCCTCAGAGAACGCCCAGTCCTGCGAGTTCATAACTCCACAGCAGCTGAACTGCAAAGTGGACAAAATGGAAAGCTCACGAATTACAGCGAAGTTTGGGAAAGTTTTACCGTTTTTTGAGTGTGAATCCAGAATTGCGTCTCGTCGTCAGATGGTGGAGGTGATGCATAGCTGTTAAAAATATTATTACTATCTTTGAGATACTAAAGTACATGGTGTACCAAAGTGACATGTGCAATAAACTACCGTGTTAAAGACATTAGGGCAACAATTGAGGACTGGTTTTTTAAGAATAGTTTGCCGACAAAATGACGTTGCTGCCTGCGGCTGACATCGTCAATTCTGTCCCTGGGCGCGGGCACGACCGCAGGTCTGCAAGAGTTGGGGTCGTCTTCGAGGGACATCGTCCGAGTACCTCAGTACGTCCGTTTAGAGGGTTTTCTTTGAGCAGTATAGTGCAGAGTGCAGTCCTCAAGTAGGACCGCAGGGAATGATATATTGTTTCAAGGCAGTGTTGTAGGATGGCCACTCCTGAAACTGATGAAGGTAAGGTGCCTCGGTCCTGCTCATAGAGTACATCCAACTTTGAGGTGGTACTGTGCTTTGTTGAAACACGAACGGCTTCAGAAGGAGACGCGAAACAATGGGGTTCCCAGAACGCTTTTCACGTGCACTTTTTTGCTAGCTGTTATATCTTTGCGGGCAAGCACTACTGGATACATGCCTTCACAGGTAGGTGACCACCACCCAAATCACGATTCTGTCGGCATGTCATAGGATTCCCAAGAAAATTAGGGTGATGTGTTCTCGCCTTCCGGATGACCTCTCAAGTTAACCAAATGCACGTAGGGATTCTCCAGCTTCTCTCTTCTTGCAACCTCGGCATCTTAGTTGTAAGTCTTTCAGTTGTTGTGTGCCTTACGAGGTTGATAGGTGGAACAGTTTATTAATGGCCTAACGTTTCGACCCAATCGTCGTCTTCAGAGGCCTGAACATGTTTCAAGTTTTAGATTCGCAACCTACCCCACCAAGCGCCTCGTCGAATCTAGCGGTTCCGACGTAGTGTCGGGAACCCTTCGAAAAAGACGCCACTACTGCAAGAAACAGGCTCACCAGTTGTTCCACCCTTTGAGCGGATAAGTCCGCAGCCACACCACAGAGCTGTTAGTAGAGAAATGAAGAACCCTACATTGTCTCCATGTGATGACATATCGTGGAGACGTACGTCACGCTCTGTCATTTTACAGTCCGCAGTGGGGTATAAACGGTAGTAGGTCACTGGTGATGGAAGGACACTCATCTCGATTGTTCATTCTGGGTTTCCTAGTGAATATCCAGAATGCTTCTAACGCTTTTCTAGCTGAAAGTTCCGTCTCATTTGCCAGCACACTGCACTTTATTTCGAATTCCAACCCATTGTGTTCAGCAACCTTGTGCCTCCCAAGAGCAGTTGTAAGAGTACCATAGGCGCACGTCATGCTAGCAAGGTGTCCTTGATGCGAATTGCCAAGACCCTTCCTGTTTCCCCTATATATGTAGAGTTACATTCCCGACACTGGATTTCATATATTACTCCCAGTTGCGCACAGTCACCAACCTTCCCGTGTGGGCATGTAACACAATTCTCTGATATGCACTGCTTGTCGTAGAGCCTATTACGAACAG